CCCCCCCCACTCCTTGGTACTATCTCCTTCTGTTCTGCAGACCAGCAACCCTGGCCACAAATCCCCAGAGTCAGACTGGAGCAGCTGGGAAGCCGAGGGCTCGTGGGAGCAGGGCTGGCAGGAGCCAAGCCCCCTAGAGCCACCCCCTGAAGGCACACGGCTGGCCAGCGAGTACAACTGGGGTGGACCAGAGCCTAGTGACAAAGGCGATCCCTTTGCTGCCCTGTCAGCGCGTCGGGAGGCTGGTGCCCAGGTACATGGCACCTGTCTAGTGGAAGGGTGCAGACATGGGGTGGACCTCAACTGGGAGTAGGCCTCCACTCCAGTCCACACTTCCCTTTTTCAGCCAAAACTGGATTCGTGGGGTGATGACAACTGGGAGGGCCTGGAGACCGAGAGCCGTAAGTGCTTCCCCTGGGAGGGCTGGTGGGCTACCTTCCACTGGGACAGACATGGGCTAGGAAGCTAAGACCTAGGTTGTCCTGATACTATCAGACCTCCTCCCCTTCCTGCTGCCAGGACAGGCCAAGGCTGAGCTAGCCAGAAAGAAGCGCGAGGAGCGTCGGCGGGAGATGGAGGCTAAACGCGCTGAGAAAAAGGCGGCCAAGGGCCCCATGAAACTGGGAACTCGGAAGCTGGACTGAACCGCTGGTGTGGGCGCCTCCCAGCCTCGGAGAGCAGGCCCCGCAGATGTATTTATTGTACAAACCATGCGAGCCCGGCCAATCTGGCCAGGCATATCTCACATGTACATAATCAGAGCCATAATAAATTCTATTTCACACCCCCTGTGCTGGTCTCAGTCTAGCCCCTACAAGGAGGCTGGGGTGGGCGGAGTCCTCGCCTACCACGGAAATGAACATCAATTTGCTTCAAAAACCAAGAAGTAAAGAGGCACGATCTGATTTATCAGTTTCTAGGAAACGCCCTCTGGAAGGAAGACCCGCAGCGCTCGAGAGACCCAACATCCATCCGCCTGTGAACCAGACGGAGCCCGTATGGGCGCGCTGGGAACATGGGGCGCGGGGAAGGGGTCTGCGGGCCCCAAAGGGTCCCTGGGTCCGAGGCACAAGCGGGAGGCCGAGCTCGCCCCGAGTGTCGGGCGGAAACCCCTCTGATCGCCTAGATCCAGGCAGAGGATGGTGTCAGCGGCGGCGCTGGGGCACGCAGGCCCCATGCGGGCGGCTGCGCGCGAAGCCAGCTTTGCAGACGCAGCGGAAGGAACCGCTAGTGTTCACGCAGCGCTCGCTCTTGCACAGTAGCCCGCGCTGGTTCAGCTCTCGGCACTCGTCGATGTCTGGATGTGGGGGTGACAGGTGCGAACTTCGCGAGGGCGCCACAGCCGCGCGGCCCTCTGCTTCTGGGAACTTCAGGGTTCTGCAGGACCCGGACCCGCCCCGCCGGCCCGCGGCCAGCCTCTGGTCCCACCCCCGTGGCCCCGCCCTCTAGGCCCGGCTCACCGACGCAGCGCGCGCGGGAGGCGTCCAGCTGGAAGCCGCCGGGACACTCGCACACTGCGCCGCCCGGCCGCGGCACGCAGCGGCCACTCACGCAGCGGCACTCGTCCGAATCCTCCTCTGAGCTGTCCTCTTCTGCGCCGGCCAAAAGAATGCAGGCGTCAGCACCGCCCCTAGCCATGGCCGCGGACCCCGCCTCTGCCCCTCCCGCTACACTCACCTCGTGGGGGCTTCCCCAGCAGCAACGGGCTCGCGTCCCAGAAGGAATTGCTCTCACTCTGCGACGTCGGGCACTGGGACCCTGAGGGGAGCAGTGGACGGTGAGCAGTCTGCAGCGTCGATTCTCTCTGGCTCCTGTCCTCAAACTCCCTCCTGGCCAACCCCTTCACCGCCTGCTTACCGGCGCCACGCGGCGGGCACGGGCGGCACTGGGCTCCCCAACCTCGGCCCTGGCGACAGCAGCAGTCGTCGAAGGTGAGGGCGGGCCCGGCCAGGGGACCCGCACACATGCCATCCTCTCCGCGCTGGCCCCAGCACACGTCCCGCCGCTCCGGGGCACGCTCTGCGGAGGTGAACCCGGAGTCAGGGAGGAGCCTAAAGCAGGGACCACCTGTTCCCAACCCAACCCACCCTAGCGGGAACCGCAGCCTGAGGTCTCCACGCGGCGGACAGGGTCCTGGAGAGCTCAAGACCACCCTCGCACTCACCGGCCGGGCTCTCAGGGAGCTGGCAGTCGCGCCCAGAGGGCCCGGGTACCCAGGGCAGGCGGCACTCGCAGCGGTAGGAGCCCGGCAGGTTGACGCAGCGGCCAGGGCGGCAGGCTGCGGGGTCCTGGCACTCGTCCACGTCTACGGGCAGCGAGGGGATGGGTGAGAGTGGTAGTCACAGCTTGGTTCCGCCCGCCTCCCTTCTGTATTCCCAGCCCGCAGACCCCGGCCTCACCCATCTCCTCTGGGCTCAGGCACTGGCGCTGCGCCGGGCTGTACTCGGCCGGGGGTGTGCAGGCGCAGCGGTAGCCGCCGCGCGTGTTCTCACACACTCCGTTTCGGCAGTTGGACTCGTCCAAGCACTCATCCACGTCTGCGGGGAGCAAAAGCACGAGTGGTAGGAATCGGCACGGAGTCGACTGGTTGTGCATGTCTCCCAGCTGCTTTCCTACAGCCACGGGGCCCGGCTGCACTCACCCACGCATTCCAGCAGGTTCCCATCGTAGTAGAAGCCTTGCTTGCAATAGCACTCGTAGCCGGGCTGCGTATTCACGCACTTGCCCTCCTTGCAGATCTCCGCCCCGAACAATATGCATTCGTCGATGTCTGCAGAGTGACAAGCCGTGGGCGCCCACGACCTCTACCTACCGGGCCACTGAGGCCCGGCAGCCGAGAAAGTGTGGGTGGGGCTTACCGTGGGAGGGGAGGAAACAGTGCGAGGGGCTTTTCCGGACGCTGACGTAGGAGTGATGGGGGCGGGGCTTCCCCTAGTGCCCGCAATTGATGAGCAAGCACTGGTGGGATCCCGCAGGTACAAACCTCGGCGGGCGGGGCGGGGCTTGCCAGGTGGGCGGAGCCGTGTTAGGGCTTACCACGGTGGGCTGGAATGCCATAGTTGACAATGTTGTTGTCCTGGGTGTAGCCCTTCCCGTCTGGGCAGAGGCTGTGGAACTCAGCTACCGGGAGACAGCGGCCGCGGGGAAGGAAGGAGTCAGGATTAAGAGTGCGTGCTGGCAGTCGGGCGCAGGTCCCGCCTCATTTCCCACCTACCCAGGGAGGGGTCCTCTCCCCCAATCGTTTCCAAATAAACTGAGAACTGAGGCCCTAGAAAGGGAAAGGGCCTGCTAGGCTTCTGACCTGAGCTGTAGACTGGGCAGGGATAGATCTCGCAGTGGTCTCCCCAGCCAGCCCCCAGCGAGCAACAGCACTCCTGCTGGGTGACATTGGTGGCCAGTACACTGTCGCAGAACACGGTGTCATCAAAGTTAAGGTAGCACTCCTTCTTGTGGTGGGGCTGCTCCACCTCTGAGGGGAGGGAAAGCAGCTCAGAGCCCTGCGGAATGTCTGCCTGTCCACACCACCTGCCAGCCTCATCGCTGTGCTCCCCGACATTCTCTGGCTCCCTTCAGCTGCCCTGTGAAAGCCAACCTCCATCTTCGATGTGGCATTCAGGGCCCTCCTGTGAGGTCTGGCCCTACCGGGCTTTCCCAGGCCAAACAGATTTCTTCCTGTTCCCCACATTCCAGAGGGTGGGACCAGGATACAACTCTAAACCTCAGCTGCAGCTCAGGGGAGTTGTCTAGATTGAGGAGGGAGCTGAGAGGGCACTCACCCTCACAGCCGTGCTGGTCCTGGGTGGGTGTGAAGCCCTCATCGCAGACACAAACGTAGGAACCCTGCAGGTTCTCGCAGGCCCCGTGGGGAAGGCACAGGCCGGGGTCCTGGCTGCACTCATCTATATCTTTGGGGAGCAGAAAGAGTTGCTTAGAGGGAAACCAGCCCCTCTTTCCTAGGGAGTGTGCCTCAAGGATCTCACACAAGTTCAGAACCTGAATTTCCACTCTGACTTCAAAGTACACACAACAAAAAATCCACTCGTGTTTGTCAAAAAATCCACACATGGGTAGATGTGTGCACAGTCAATGCATTATTCATCATAAAACCTACAATGGCTCCCACTGACAACAGAATGAAGTCCTAACCTCCGCTCAGCATTTGGGGACTTTCAGTTTGGTCTCCAAATAGCTTTAAGTCTCATCACCCTTACTCTAAACCACCAACACCCTCAACTCTGTTTAGAGCACAGGTGTCAATTCTCCCTAAAAACACAATTAGCTCCTTCCAGATCTCTGTGCTTTGCAAATATTGTTATTTGGGTCTAGAATACCATCCCCTACTTTTCTCTGCTTAGGGAATCTATTTATGCTTTAGGAAAGCCTATTTATGCTTCAAGTTCCAATTCAACTCTCACCTCTCTGTTGCAATTAATCACTAGTCCAGACCTCCTTTGGCACTAAGCACCCTGAACTGTAAGAATCAATTTACATGTCAGTCTCCCCTAGCTGGGTCATTGTTCAATACCTAATATGTAGCATAGAACCTGGCACATACTGGATGCTCAATAAATTCTTGTTGGATGAATGCATGTAGGGGAGATTTGGCACATAGTAAGCACCATATAATTACTGTCATTATTGTTACTGTTATGTGGAAGAATAGAAGGATGAGTGAACAGATCAATAGATGGAAAGACAGACAGATCAACAATGTGTCTAGGAGATGACTGCTCCCCACCATTCCTCCTCCAGTACTCTTAGCCAATCCCCTCATACCTTGGCACTTCCTGCCGCCTACCAGCCGATGTCCCTGGGGACAGAGACATCGGTAGGAGCCATTGGTGTTGATGCAGTCACCCCCAATGCAGGCTGCAGGGAAGTCACACTCATCGATGTCTGTAGGGGATCAAAGAGGTGGAGAATTTCAGGGATTAACCCCACTCACACAGCCTGAGGCTGCCAAGTCTTCCCAGAGGACCTTGGGTAGGGCCCACACTCCATACCCCGTCTTGGACCTAGATGGGGGCTGTACATGGGGGTGCCTGGCTTGCCTACAGGTAGCCCCTGGGCTTGGGGCCTGGACAGTGGAAGTCTTGGGATAGGGAGGAACAGGTCAGCCCCTCAGCTCTAGGCCCCCCTCACCCTCACAGCGGCTTCGGTCTCTTGACAGATGGTAGCCAGAGAGGCACTGACACTGGAACGAGCCTGGCGTGTTGGTGCAGATGCCATTGTCACACACGTCCCCAGCCTCACACTCGTCCACATCTGTGAGGCACAGGGGCTGTCAGAAGGCCAGGATGGGGGTGGTCTTGGATCTCTGCTACCCTTTTCCCACTCCCACCCATGGTCTGGAGAACTAGAGCTGAGGCCAGTGGAGCTTGAGAGAAGGACGAGACCCTGACCCCACTCCTGTGTGGCACACCACACCCTAAGGACCAGGCCAGGTTCTGCCAGGAACCCTGGGCTGTGTCTGATTCCAAATGCTCAAGCGTCCCTATCCTTTGACCATTCTCACTAAACAAGAGGCATCTGCCCCCATCCCTTCGTCCCATACTGCTCTGGGCTTCCTTGCCCCAACAGCTCTCACTCTTCCCCTACCTGCCATGGCTCCCTTTCTTCCCACATAAGTAACCTTCCCTATGTCTTTGTTCCTACAGATTAATTTCTTCTGTTTGTGTAGTAAAGGGACTTGGCTCTGAGAGCACAGTTCTCTGCAGTCCTTTCTAGTGGAAGCTGGTCATTGCCCACACCCCAGACCCCTTCCAATGCTCTTCCCCTGAGGTG